TCCCTCTTCTTTGGGGCAACCCCTGAGATATTGGAAGACTGCTATCCTGTCTCCCCTGGTCCTCCTTTTCATTAAACTAGTTCCTGCAACCGTTCTTCCTATGTTTTAGCCTCCAGTCCCCTAATCCTCTTTCTTGTTCTTCTCTGCACTCTTTCAACATCTTTTTTACATCGTGGTGACCAAAACTGGATGCAAATATTCCAAGTGTGGCCTTACCAAGGCCTTATAAAGCGGCATTAACCCTTCACGTGATCTTGATTCTCTCCCTCGGTTGATGCAGCCTAGAACTGATCAGTTGAAGACTACCTGTAATTTGGGTCCTGGCGTGGAGCACGGGGTTGGACTAGATGGCCTCAGGGCGTCCTTTAATCCTCCATTCCTGTGTCTTTCAGGCAATGCTGTGGTGGTCAAGCCGTCGGAGGTCAGCGAAAACACAGCCAAGTTGTTTGAAAAGCTGCTCCCTCAATACCTCGACAAGGTCAGTGTGAAGAATTGTGGCCACGTTTGCTTCGGCAGTGTGGTGGGAGTGCGTGGGAGTCTTTCACAGGATTGAACAGTGATGGCTAACTTTTTTTCTCCTTTTTTCTCGAAAAACACCCGTAATGCAATGCGCCCCACTCTGTGAGCATGCGCATGTGGCACCCCCCCTCCTGTGCTCCTCCCAAACGTGCGCATATCCACCCCCCCACCCCATGCCCCGTTTTGGGCCTAGCAGGCCTCACTGAAGCCTCCTGAAACCAAAAACGGGGCTCGAGGAAGGGGATATGCGCGGGGGTGGGTGGAGCACGGTGTGTGTGTGTCACATGCGCATGCTCACAGAGTGGGGCGCATTGCATTATGGGTGTGGGGGATTTAACATGTGAGGAGAAAAAGGAAGGATGTTCATGCGCCCCCCTGGTGCTCTCCCGCCCCCCCTGCCTCCCTACGGTCACAGGATTTATATTCAGATGCTTGTCAACTGACTCACAGTTATGACGGTTGCACTGCCCAGGGGGTCACATCATCCCCTTTTAGTGACCTTCCTCAATGGAACAATTACCTCCACCAGACCGATTAGATCCCACAGATTAGGCCTCCTCCGAATTCCATCCGCCGGCCAATGCCGACTGGCG